TGTGTATGTCATTGATGTTGGTTTTTCTGGTTCCTCCGCAATTGTGTCGATCCACTCGTGATAGTAAGCTAGTCGTGTGTAAATACCTGGGTCGCCTTTCAAGGCGCATCCTTTGCCAAAACTTGTAATACCAACCTGAAGAGAAATTCTCCGGAGTCGAAAGAAATCTTTTTCATCGAGATTCAACAGTAATGGAATGCGCGTCACATATAGCAACGAATATCCTTGATTTATCGAAACTGAGTGAAATACTCGTCTAGTTGTACCTCGTTGATTTTGCCCGTCTAGCACGAGTGCAACAGGATCGTTTATGAAACAATTTGAAACAGATATTATTGCTCCGTTTTTCCAAAAATTTTACTTTCCTTAGACATTACGACGATTTTTTTCTCATTTCCATTTTGAGAACTGTTCAATGCGTTCAACAAAGCAGAGGTCGGAATTTTGTTGAGAAGTTTATGTTTAAATTTCAAAATTACTCTTGAAAAGAAAGCGGCATGAACATGTCTCGAAGATGCACAACAAATCTCGTTTATTCTATCAGACAAAGAAAAAGATTGTCTTTTAGATTAGTATCTAACGCCAAGTTTTTTTTTAAATGTCAATCTGAAATTTTTTTGAATAACTTTTGACCAATTCAAGCTATCAAGCTATGGTTTTCATCATTCAAAAGAGCTATGATAATCTAAGGAAAACGCAGGCCTGATTCTTGTATTAATTAATGTATCCTTGACATTGATGATCACTGCATAAAACATGGCGCATTTGGTTCCAATTTTCTTCAAAACAACCTTTCCTCTTTGAAGTCACAAATTTAGTTCGGAGCTGACCATCATAGGTGGTCTTGATTCACATGCCGGTTTCTTTCGTATATTAACTCATATTTTGGCATTTCAAAAGCTTTCTTCTGAAATCTGGATAAAACTATTCCTTTTGATTTAATTGCAACTTTCTACATTTCTACCAAATAATTCGTTTGGGTTACCTCATGTAAACTGCGTTTCTACAAGTTCTTTACATGCAAAATACGACAATAGAAAATCTAACCTGAAAAGCGTCGCTTGAAATTATATAATCGATGCAGACAAATGAAATTTTAAATGACTAAAGTATTTTCAATCAGGGCTCTCGAACAATAGACAGTCAGAAACTCGAAGGTGAACTCAACTTTCTGTTGAATTCGATGAAGCGATGTTTCTCTTCGAATACACTCGAAGAATCTTTTCTTTATGTGGAAAGTGTTCCCCAGTGTCGATTTAGCGAAAAAGTTGGCCGTTTGTCATTGGTTTCGGTGAGGATTTCAAATTACTAGAGCGAATCACTTAAAACTTTCTCAACCGATTCCAGCCTGATCCGAGGCATATCTTTAGTTAATCTTTGAGATAATCGTCTAGCCGTTTGTTTACGTTTGCGCTCCACGTGTGCTCGAGAGCAAGCTTTAATAACCTCGAAGAATAAAGTCTGTGAAGACTGTGTACAGGAACTTGCTATACTCTTGTAGGTGTGGGTGGAGCTGTGGGATATGGATGTGAATGCAGTTAGAACACTCACACTTACTCACACAAGCATTGAAAATAATAAATCTGTGGTCTATATTGTCATATCTACCATTAGAGTATCTTGAAAGATTTGCTTACGGAACATACTGATTATATTACTAATAGAATCGAAGTACACATATCTGCTTGCCGTCCGCAAAGAGTTAAGCAGATAGTTCCTTGTGTCCTCATCATGTTTCCCGGGACTGTCGGTAGTCTAATTAAGGTTGCATGCATTTTTCTCGATTTTAAACTGAGCCTATCAGCGCTTAATGTCAGGTGTAGAAGTACTCCAATATATTTTTTGCAGCTACATTAAAAGCTTGCTTTCTTCTTTGTGTTCAATGAAAACACGCGAAAATACGTTGGATTTCGATCAAATACTCTCAATCATCGATCTACATTCGCCTTTCTTGTGATAGGTAGCAACACTAATGTATATCATATTCGAAGCTAGAAAGTCATGTCGCGTCATACCACGCAAAAATGCCCAGTCGATTAGTGGTAAGATAAACAGAGTTTTGGCGATGCTGCATCCAACTCACAAGTAATTTGAACTTCTTCATAGATGTTTGCCGTCATCTGCACATGAATTTCTTGATCCATCAGGTTTTACAAGAAGAAAATAGGTACACTCCCGATTAGATCATAGACAGGCCTAGAAGACATGATGAGCATACGAGGAGAACTATCTGCCTCCGCAGCCCAATACCTTCAAGTAGTCAAAAGTTATTCAAACAATCGTGGTTGGCGTTAAAAAGAATCCGACATTAGTAGCGGTGTAACCAAGATTTGATGCTAGTGTAGGCTTAGCCCTGGACATTTTTTCTGCAGGTGTACAAAGCTAGAGCCATTTTTTCTATATTTAACTTCCGACCGAAAAACATGTTTAAGAGCGAAATGTTTGAAAGTATTTATCGAGATTTCATAGATATGAATCGATTTTAAATGAACTGATCGTACTAATGACTCGTTCCACAACTACTTCGGGGCCTGATTGGAAAAAGCAAACGTAGAGGTTCACGATAATTTGCGAAAGAACTTTGCTTGAATAAAAATCTTTAGCAAAGCTGTCACGATGCGGTTCATCAGAAAAACCTAATCGCGCTGTCATATTTTGCATGGATCAATCAAGAAGCATTAAAATCGACTTTGATCTGTCGTTTATCACCCAGCTAATAAATTATCAGCAGAACTATTCGGTATTGCTGGCTTTTTTGCTGAAGATTCAACACAACATAGCTACAAATCATGGAAGTATTATTTCGATGATCACATAAGGAAAAATATCTCTAACTGAGTGTAGTTCTCAACACAACGGCATCCTGGATGATCATGCTCGTGACCCTCAGTGAGAGCAATAATGACAGAAATTTCTTATTATATTCACTGAAGACAATCTCCTTCGCAATAGAGCCGATCACTTAAGTCAAACAAATGAACTGCAAAAGTTTTATCATGAACGTATGCAACGACTTTTCTTTGAAAAGCAACACTTCTACATGTAAGTAACGAAATTATATCTTTTACTAAAAGAGCACGTTATTTCCTGATGAAATTGTGAAATTCTACTTCATTTTCCCCTTCGATTCAAGAAAAATATCGAATATTGATAAGGATGAAATTAGGTATTCCACGCATCCTACTCATGACGGCTCCAAAAAATAACAAACAATACTATCTGTCACGAGAACCACAGAACTTCCTAGGTTGGACTTTTGCCACCCAAATCCATCTCGTGTTTACACCCACAGCATCTAAAACCTCGTCCATCTCACGAAGAAGCAGGTGTAACAAGCGGAAAATTTTTCTTGCACACTATTTTCCTTTCAAAAGTGCCATGACTTCGAAACAACTCCGAATATATAGGTTACATCTATGGTGACAGAAACATTCTTCTTCAACGATCTTTTCTATCGGAGTGATTCAAATTTTCATAACAATTTTATCGTTATTTACTTATGAATCTATTTACCTGTTCCCATCGATCACCAAGCCATTGCAAGATTGGTCCACCAGAATCACCTAAACAAATATACTTTCTTAGAAAAATCTAAGCATAAGTAAACGAGCGAATACATACCTTGACAAGTATCTACAAACAATAACAGAAAAAAAAACAAAGTATAAGAGAGATAGAGAGACACTTGAATAGATTGAAACTAACCTTTGCCACCTTCATAAAGTGCAGCACAAAATTGTACTTGTGTATCAAAAAGTGATTTATTACAAATTGGATCATTATTATCAATTGCGAAAACTTGAACTTGATGCAGATTATCTGGTGAATTATTGGTCCAATCCTGTTTTATATTACCCCAGCCGATTGCAGCTAAACGTGTACCATTACTCGGATAAGTTTCAACATTGTTTGGCCACTGAACTTTTGGCACACAAATTCGTGCTAACAATGGATTTGAAGCAAGTCCGAGTGGTTGTGACAAATGTAACATCGCAATATCATGCCGACGTTCCATCGATGATGATGACCAATCCGGATGAATATGAATGTAATCTACTTCACGGATTACACCATTTGGATCAGATCTATTATGCACACCAGCTACAATCTGTATACGATCAGGTGTTTCATCATCAACACAATGAGCTGCTGTGAGAATATAAGAATCTGAAAAGATTGAACCACCACAAAAGTGACTGTTGGACGAACGATGTTGCAAGGAGACCATGAATGACCAAGTATAGGGTACTGCTTCTTCTCCACCAACGATTCTCGATGGTGTAAGTTCAACATTTTTATGACTACAGCCACAGTATACTTTTGTATTGTCACATGTATAGGATATTGGTGGTCGAACATCATTATCGTTTACAATCGATCGAATCCAATGATGATAAGAAGCTAGTCGTGTATAAATACCTGGATCACCTGCGACGGCACATCCTTTACCGAAACTTGTTATACCCACCTAAACAAATAGTTCTCTGATAATGAAATCAAATCATCTCAACCATAGTTCAACAGTCTAATAATCAAAATCCAGAAGTTGTCTCTATCGAAGAGGCTCGCATTTCGACACAATTGGAATAAACAGTTATCTGAATTTTCCACTCTCAAGAAATGATGATGGACTGATTTTGTGTCAGAACATAGCAGAAACTGTCAATTTTCCAAGGAAGTAGCATATAGGGTACGTCCGAATGCAACGGTTCTTGCTGCTAAGATATTCAAGGTTTTCAGCTAAGATGGTGCCTTATGATGTTACGTATGCCAAGTTTATTGGTAAAAATCCGTTCATTTGATGCTTCTCGACGTCGGACAGTACTTGCAAAGAGAATCAATCTCTCAGTTTTGATGGCAAATAATACAAGTTACTATGTCTGATCTATACAATCCTAGGGAGAAAGGGCGGACTCTGGGTTCTCAGTTCCCGAGATTCTTATGTGATTTTCACAATGTTTATAATAACAAATTGAATTCCCGAAATTCATATTTAATCACTATGATCCTCACTCTAGCTCTGAAAATCTCATAAAACCAAATTGCATGAAACTGGCAGGATATGTTGGAACTGGTGAACAACAACTTTAGTAAAATATTCACCCCTATAACACGATGTTTAATAGAGATATTCTCCAAACAAGGGTCAAAAATTGCTCGATCGTACCTCCAAGTTTTCTCTGTGAGGCTTCATTCTAGATATTTAAGTTTTTCTTATTTGAAAGAGCATGTCAGAATACAATCCCTCCCGTGACCTTTTTTGTAAGAATTCTCACTTTTTAAATGAAGAAAAGGAATGACAAGTTCAATGACTCTCAAAAAATCCCTAAAAAAATGGTGCTGTTTCTAAAGAGGTGCTCTCTTATATGATAATAAAAAGTCTTATTTTAAAAAGAGAGACACGAGGGGGGTAACCCTAGACACAAAGTTTCAAACAAAAAAAGTATTTGACTTTATCTCTTACTATGATAGGGTTAGCTGGTGCTACGTCGTTGAATCCACGTTCTGAGAAAAACAAAAAATGATTTTCGGTTGTTTTTGTAAAAAAAAGAGTTTGCTTTTCGAATTGGGTGGTGATGGGAAAAATCTTCCAAAATTTTTGAAAAAAAAGAGATGCTGAGTAAAATTTCTTCTTATTTATGAAGGAGCACACGACAAACTATTTCTCCATGAATTTATCTCAATTTCGATCATTTCGACGAAAAGTGACTTTTTTTGAGGGAGCTTAACCTGAATAGATCGGTATCAAGTCAATTTTGATAAAAGCGCAGTTTACTGTCTTAGTTTTATCGAAAAATGTTCGAGGTAGAATAATAAAAACAGCAATAAGGAGTAACACACATTAATGAGTAATAGAAGAAATATGTCGTATCAAATGAATGAATAGCGTCTCATCTATAACCTTTTATTCATTCGATAATCTGACAATTGCACATGCTTGGCTTAATCAGGTAGTAGTATAGCCTTTCTGTCTACAAAAAGACAAGAGACTTTCTATCCATGACTATATTGTTTTTGACATCAGTCTTGACACAAAAGAATAGAGTTTGAGAGTGAAGGAGAAATTAGCTCGAAGACTCGCATCGCATGAAGTTGAGATTTATCGTTAGGTGACAAAGAAGACAAATCATGAATTTTGTCTTAGAATCAACTGTATTTCTCTGATTTGGACAGAAAAAGTAATATTAAATTTGAAGTACTAGTTTGACTCTTGATCCAATAGATTGTCATGATTTTCGTCAGATTAGACGTTACGAATTTTTTTCACGTTAGACCCGTACAAATGATCGACTTTGTATCATCAAAGATTCTCTTGTTTTCTTTCAATCAAAATTAGCACCTAATCTAGAACGAAGATGATAGGCTAGATCATAAACTTGACAAATAGTCTTTCTAAACTCATCACACAAGAGATGATCATGAGATGATTTTGAAGCTTGTAGTTTCAAAATAGTCTTATTCTTGTCGTTTGTGACACTTTGGAAACTTTAATGAAAAGTTCAACTCATAGATTTGAAAGGAAAACAAAATAGATTTCATATGTACTGGATTGCCTGAACTTTGTTCGAATATCCAGAATCCACATCAAGTTCCTTATTTCTATTCTTTTTGTTTTCTAGCTGTTTACCTTTTTTTCTCTAAGACTCACTCGGTATCTTCAAGCTCTCCTTGAATTATGAAAGTCGAGTGATGTTTACTCTTCCACAGCAAGAAAGTAGCCCGGACATCACTAAGTCTACACAAAAATTTTCTCGTAAGATATTCATCAATACTAGTGACACAAAAAACTCTCCTATATCATTTTCCTTTGTCAATGAAAGGGGCAGAAAAAAACCAAAGTAACATCAATTGGAACTAACCTGTTACACTTTCCCAGTAATCACGCCCATTTGGTTAAATGAGCCGTAAAATGAACTAATATGAGCTAATCGATTAGTATATCAGTCATATTATCTGATAAAAAGTCGATAGATTATTTACTTATGTTTTCTTTTTGTATTGATGTTAATGCGTAGATCATTATTGATTAGTGTAAGAAGAGTGATGTTGATTGCAAAACTACGACTTCCTAAGTATTGAACAAGATGAAAATCCCACAGGTTCGCGTCTTGGAAGCTAATCCATGATTCAACTGTAACAATATATTTTATGTCGAGTTTAGAACTGTACTCCGATTTATTCTTCTAGGAATCAATATGAACGCCATTGTGCAAAAGCGTTTGAGATTTCTCACCTATCTCAACTGCATAAATAAGACAGCCGCCGCTTCTCTAGCGCTGAATCTTCAGTAACGATATCGATAAGGGTGTGAATCTGCGCATTCTTTCTATCCATAAAAAATCGCAACACCCATACCTTTACTTTCTATACCTTTACATTGTTTTCTTAAAGGAATGAATTTCAAAATATTAAATGAATGAAGTGAAATTTGTTATCCATGAGCATAGTTATAATTTCAGGGTTCTTCAGACATCTACATTAAAAACTCCTGGGACTTCCATCGGATTCCCATGGAATTTGGAATTATGGAACTCTGCCGATTCCCTCTTGATACAATCAAACTTGATCTCATCAAACTGCTAAAAGGGCTATTTCCAAATCTGTATGATTCACTTCAAATAATCCTGAATCAATATATCACATTGCCTTCTCGCATATATTCTCAAGATGAGAAATAATGGGCGGATTTTCCGCCCACCAGTATCCTATTGAGCAGGCGAGATAGAAATGGAAAAACTTCGATTCAACAGAAAGTTTACTATGTTACAATATTCTCACCTGTTCCCATCGATTACCAAGCCATTGAAAAATAGGTCCACCAGAATCATCTAATAGAACGAAAATTTGTTTCAACAATCAATATTACACAAATAGATACATACCTTGACAAGTATCTAGAATAAATAAGAGACAAAATAAATATCATACACGAAACATAGATGTGAACTGAAACAAACCTTTGCCACCTTGGGAAAGTCCAGCACAAAATTGTATTTCTTTGTTATAGAGTGATCTGGTACAATTTGGATCATTGTTATCAATGGAAAATACTTGAACTTGATGAAGATTGTCCGGTGAACTTGTATGGTTATCCATTTCGGTATGACCCCAACCAATCGTTGCTAAAGGTGTGCCGCTTGATGGATAGTCTTGTATATCAGTGGGCCAGTGAACATGTGGTATACAAGTTCTTGTGAGCATTGAATTTTGAGCAAGTTCAAGTGGTTCTGATAAACGTAAAATTGCAATATCATTGAGATATTCAGGTTGTGACCAGTTAGGATGAACAAAGATCTGATCAACTCGACGAATCACAGCATTTTCATCAGATTTATTATGCATACCAGCAGCAACTATTACGTCACCAGGTGAATCAGTATCGATACAATGAGCTGCTGTGAGAATATAAGAATCGGATAGAATAGAACCACCACAGAAGTGGCGATTGGTAGAAGTTTGTCGAAGAGAGACTATCATTGTCCAACTGTTAGGTAGTGCCTCTTCACCACCTACAATTCTTGATGAAGTGAGCTGAACATAATTATAACCACAACCACAGGACACTAAGGTGTTGTCACATGTGTATGTCATTGATGTTGGTTTTTCTGGTTCCTCCGCAAT